TTTGCTAGAAAACGTATTTTCAAACTACGTTTTATAAAAATACATCTTAATTATTATTTGCCTATTTTTTTTAAACGTTTCTTTTTTTTTTAAAATACAGTTTACTTTTTTCGAAAACGTATTCTCAGAATACGTTTTTTTGATTAATTTTTTTTTTTAAGAAAACGTATTCTGAGAATACGGCTGTTTTGTTTTGGTCCACTCTTTTTTTTATTTTATTTTTGTCCACTTAAATTTTTTTTTTTATATAAATAAACTTCCCATATATATATCCACGTGTAACATTTTTATTAATCGAGACCAAATTAGGTATCAACAAGTTAAAAATCTGCAATTTATTGAAAAGATTAATTGATTATTGCGATTAACCGAACATAATCGACCACTGAATTTTTAGTTAAAAATCGAACGGAGTCATATACTTTAGCTCGATTTTTTGTTCTTATAACAGATAAACCGAAAATTGATTTGTTTATTTCACCCAAATAAACAAACCTACTACATTTATCATTTAAAAAAAAAAAATTTGCGTGACTGCCACTAGCCCAGTGGATATCAGTTCAATTATTAGGGAGCTGAACATCACATGGCTCACCGTCACCGACTCGAAAAATTTATGCATTTCATTGTATTATATTTGAGACTTAGAACCCAATGGCTGGCTGTTGCGTATCAATCATATGTTGATTGGAATAATCAGTTGATGACCATTACTGATCCAACTATTAAAAAACAGGCGCCAGGCGGTTGTTTTGCTTCTATTTGATACCAATAGTGCACTTGGTGAATTATTATAATTTTTTTTTACTAGTCGTATTCGGAGTTTTGCCCGGACTAATTCGTTGGTCGATTCAGGTCGCACACCTGACAATGATAGATATGCATTCTTAAGGACTCGAACCCAAAATCTTGCTTAAGCGACATCAAGCTGCTTACCACTTGAGTCAACTCATGTTAGTTGAATTGTTATAATTTGAGCATATGACAAAATATTTATAATAAATACCTATATAAACATAAAATGAACAAAAAAATATCATTTAATCATCTATCGGACTTTTGAAATAATAATATTCATAACATTAATAGTAGACTAATTGAGTTTTATTGTCACTCTGGCAAATATCAATCTTTAATTTGTAACTAGACATGTCCACGAGCCGAACTGCCCTGTGAACCGGCACACGAACTGGCACTAGCCCGGCTCGAACCGGCCTCCTAAGGGCCGGTTCGTTGAACCGGACCCTTAGGGTCACGGTTCAGTCCCAGATCTATTTTTCTTTATTTTAGTCCCGCTTGTCCGGGCTGGGCCGGGCTGTGCCGCGGGTCGGACGACGGGCCGCATTATTAATTTTTTATTTTTTTAAGGGCCATACCGGCTCTTGGTTCTTAACGGGCCGGTAGCGGGCCATGTATTGGAGGGCCCGTGGCCCGCCGGGCCAGGTCTGGCCGGGCCTCGGCCCGTGGACTGACCACCTCTATTCGTAACTCTCAAAATGATAATATACGTTACTCAGTGGCGGAGCCACCAGTATGGCGAGGCATGGCGGCCGCCATACCTGGCCTCCGACGAACACCCCCCCACCCCCAGTTCTTTTTGTATTTTTTTATATTTTTTGTATTTTTTCTGAAAACAATAGAATTACTGTAAATATAATTCTGCCATTTTTGAATAATAAGAATTTGAGAAGGGATAGAGAGAGAGAAAAGGAGGAAGATGGTGAGAAGAGAGAAAAAAAGTAATTGATTGTAACAGCTTACCTAATTTCCTTCAATCCCATGTGGGGTAAATATAATTTGTTTACAATTTTTCCCCACTCATTTCCCAACGTACCCTTGCTAGAAAATCTGAACATAATAAAAATGAAATGGGCTGAATTAACTCAAAATGCTAAAATGCAGAAACCCAACATATTACCTAACTCTAAGTAAAACCCAATATTTGAGGTTAAATAACAAAAGTCCTACAACCCAAATTAAATATCAAAAAATCTTTTTTTCTTGTCTTAACTTCAGTTTTTGGCCATAATCCTAATTCCCAATTGCTTCGTCTTCTTAACCTTCTGCGACCCACATTTCTGCTGCAATTTTGCTCAAGATCCCTTCTTTCATGGCCAAGTCCTCATCTTTTTTCCGTTTTTCATCCTTCTCACCATGATCCTCCACTTTATCGATCGATCTGAATTCTCTCGACTCTCTTTCTCTTGAACCGCTCTCGCCGACGCCGACGCCCGCCGGCAGCACTGCTCCATCCGCTCGCCGCTCGCCGACTCTCTTTCGCCATACGTAGATTTTAATCTTGGCTCCGCCACTGACGTTACTGCTACAACTAAATTAAATTAAGGTTTCTTCAACAATAATATAACTCATAACAACGTTCATCGATTCTACTCTAATCAACAGACACTATCTTAA